CTAGATTTGCACATAATGTTCCTAATTGATCGATAAATTGGATCTATTCCGAAGTGTTCATTGATTGCTGATTGATGTGAATCCTAAGTTCCTAACAAGTCATTAATCTTCTTTTTATTCTCTCTATACAAATTTACAACATTTTCCCAGTCTAATGTCAATCCACATTTGTCTACATGCGTTAACATAAGTGAAGATATATCATGGCGTTTGATAGCTGTCAACAGTCAAAAGAAATATGCCGTTAAGTACAGGTTAATGGTAAACAATAACCAATTAAGTTCAATCATATGTGGAGAGACTCGACAACCTCACTATTACCGATGTTTGTTCAGAAGAATAATGAAAGCTTCACGATCACAGCATCCAGCTCAGAGAATGAAGCTCTAATAAAACCACCCAACTGAGCCATGAATATTCTCCACTATCTTTTAAGTATCTAGCTTGCTGAATTTTAACTGCGTATAGTTCAAATATATTCATATATTTATTACATCTATGTCTTGCATGACGTATTAATTGAAGATGAAATAAAATTTAGCGTGTATCTACAAACTAACCGTAAGGATCCAAACTCCTATTCTCGTATTATATAACATGTGTTAATAAAGAAATCTGTTTTTCTAAATGACTCTTAGTTTCATTTTTATTGTGAAGGTTATACTCAACTAAATAATGATACGATATTCTTGATTAAACATTGATTTTTCGATAGAATCTGAATCCTAGTTTTATTGTATCTTAACCATCATTGGTCTTCTTCAATATTTTATTTTTTCAGACTAATGTGTATCCATATATATAAATGGGTAGAGTGAAAAATAATTGATTTATTATACCTTTGATGAAAACTGCCTCAAGATACTTAAGTGATAATCAAGAAATATGTCTCTAGGGATAAATATCAAGTTTCAAAATATTATCAAATAATTGATGACTAGATTTCATTGGTTATGATGTCAATTATTGTGCAGATTTAATTCATCTATCTCCGAGTGCTTATACGGAATACACATTTATATTATCATTATAGAATTATTTTGTTTGACTGACAATAGGATCATTTTAAAACACCTCGACTTAGATATAAGTTTTATTCCTGAATATTTCATGAAAAATATTCTCAACTTGACATTACGATCAGAATATGCTAACCGTGATTACTGAGTATACTATACAATAATGTTAGTAAACATTAATTCTCAAAACATTGTAGCCATGCATTAAAGACAAGTACTAGATTGACGAAGCCTAGATCTATGATTTCCTGTAACGTTAAATCTAAATACCTGGATAGAGATCATCTAATTTTATGTATTGAATACCTAAACATTAAAGTAATTTCCTTTCATAGTTTATTGCGGAGATAAAAAAAACTGAATGGTAGTGCATTTGGTGCCTACTAAATAAACATATTATCTGCAACTTTTGAATATTACTATCTGTTTACACTGATTTTCTGTACTTCCCGTGAGAATAAATAATACAATAAGGAAATCAGTTGTGTGTTTTTTATCTCAATCTACCATCAATTTATTTATGTTTGCAAAATGTGAATGTATTCAAACAATTATTTTATATGTGATTTGTGTTAATGCTCAACAATTATAAGTTTTAACTATTCTCAATTGATGATAAATAATAAAACTTTATTTGCTTCAATAAAATAATTAGCTGACATTCACGATTGATTAAATTTATTTTAGATTATCTATTTCATTTATCATTCAGGAAAAATAGCTAAAATACTGTAAAGACATTGATTAGAATTTTGTTATTCACTGTATACTTCATGGAAACTACCTACAGGTTGCCTGTAATTCTTTTTTTTTGTTTCTTTCTGTTGTGAAATTCTTGCACATTAAAATCTTTATATTATATGCATCATTAGTTCTTGATTTATTTTTATTGGTATGTTCCAGCGGCATCTATCAGTATATTTATGTGAACGCTTCACTTCCGAATAATAGCTTGTCCATTGTGCATAATTTTTTATTCACTCTCGAAATAACTTCCGTTTATATCGATAAAATCAATTTTATTTTCTGCAATGTGTTCATTTTTACCCATTGTCTATCTTTCTGGTAACTCACTCTATAATCTGGCACATCACTTTAATTTAGCCACTTAAAAAAAAATCAGTTGGACAACCTATTTGTTACGGTTAAATTCCAGTACTTGATTTTAAGCCCCACCATCAATATTAGTTACACTATCCAGATTCCTTAAATGAAGTCGCTGAGGTAAAGTTCAGACTTGTGACCTACCGATTGAAAAGACCAGTGTTTTGATCACCATTCTATCGCTTTACGTTAGTATTTTTGGTTGAAGGCTAATATATATTTTAGAAAATGGAACTATAAAACAACAAGATATTGGAAGTCATACAGTATTGTTCCTTTAAATAACTCACTGTCACCTCACTCTACGCTGAACATCTCATTGTGTAAAGTCTGTTTTAGCTAGTAGTCATATTCGATAAGATGACCTATCACCATTTTGTGAAATTTAAATTTTACTGTTAGTTTATATTTGTACCAACTGTTTGCTTTCATTGTACGTGATGATTAAGTTGATTTGTGACGTTGCTCATCGTGATTATTTAAATAAATTGTGTGAAAATTTACAAAAGTATGTATTAATCATTTGTCGTCTAGAATGTACCATTATTTGGTTATATTATGACTTGTCATTTAAGGTGTTATATATGTTCATTCCTTATTTTATTTAGGTCGTATATAATTAAGATTTTAACACTAATTGTTTTAAATTCATCACAAAATTTTCGGACAAACAAATTGATGTTGACTGGGAGAAGTATGTGAGACTCGTGAGGATCTTTTGATGTAAGATCATGCTGTAATCTGGTAATCATGCGTCGCCTAACAACTTCAGCTAGTAGCGTCCAAGGAGTAGTTATTTATCACTACAAATGAAGAAACTAAGGCTCATCGGTAACATGAGTCTAATGAGGTCATTTATAACTATGGGTATAGGCAGCCAGAAGTGAGGTGATTTCGTCTGACTGCAAAATCAGCAATTTATTCTAAAATATAGGAAATGTAGGATATCTTTTGCAAATGAACTACATTCAGAAGTTAGGGCGTTTGAAATCAAGTTAAAGTTGACAGTAGTCTCCTTTCATTAAGAAATGACACGTTCATTAATATGCATGTTACCGTGACTGAAGAGATTTCAGTATCTTGTACGTGTAGTTTGCTAACAGTGTCTACAGTTACTCACATCCACTCACGAAAGTAAACAGGACTTTCGTGATTATTAGTTCGACATAAAAAAGACCTGTTGTATATAAAATGAATTTTAACATAGCTTTAGCAAGACAAGTCATTATTTTAATCTTTAATCTCTTCTTTACAAGCAAAACTCGTCAGAATCTAAGCGAAATACTGGTATTCGATATGAATCATCTACAACTGTCAAGATTTTAACAAAAAACCTTTATAGACTAACAAACGTAATATTTACAGCACTATTTCATGGACAACAGTTCTTCTCTCACAACAGAAAACGGACTTAACGAATTCCATACGTCATTATTTTATGCTGTTGAACAGACTGAATAAAATAATTTGAGCCGAATAATATAAAGCTATATCATTTAAATGATTAATTCTAACCTTATTCAGTTTGAAAACAGAGTCTAATCAATGGTAACAAACATAACATGTGTTGACCAAACCAAATAGATCGCAAATAATTAGATGTAATTGGTGTTGTTCTTTCTGTTCGTCCCTAAATGTAGATATAATTTTTTAAAATAAGAATTAGAGCTATGAGTAACTGATGCAGATAACTGAGATCAAATTTATTCATGTAAATCTGATGCGATTGTTGTCTTCGTTGACATGTTAAGATTTAGGAAAGGAAGTGAACAAGGATAAACAACCTTAATAGGTAATTACTTTTTAAGTATTACGTCATCATTAGTTCAGTTTCTTACAGTTAGACATTGAAAAAACCAAAACTATTACATTTTCAGCTTGATAATAAATAAAAACAAGTGAAAATATGCATTTATCATCACCCTACCTTAGTATCATATACAGTATTAACGTTCTTGACTTCTGGATTTTTGTACCCTCACTGATGAGGTTAGTATTAGTCAGTCAGCCAGTTTATGAGCCTAATCACTGATATTTTATATCATTGTGGAAGTTTAATACCTCCGTTTCACTAGCCCTTGGGTCTTGCTTTTTTATAACTGATATTCCTAGAAGCAAAGATGGATGGTAGCTAGCAGTGGAATCCAGGACATAGCTTCCATCCTATCTGGAACTCGTCAGATGGATGAGTTGATTTTCATACCGGGACTTGAACCCAGTACCGTTCGCTTCAGAAGCCATCGCGTTATTCCCTTAGCTACCGAGTTCGACTAGCCACTGGTCCGTGCAATGGATTCAAACAACCAATACCAAGTATTTTTAGAGCTTCACTTTTTCCATTTTGTTGGTATCCTTTCAGAAGATCACTAATATATATGTGTAATAGAATGAATAAACGCTAATATGCTATTTTAATGGCCGACATGTAACCTTATGGTGCATGCTACTTATGTCGACAGACATAAACAGTACATAACACAAATCAGAAGTGGAACGTCTGGCAGCAGAAGGTTAGGAAGACCGAATTGAAGAGAACGAGAACAGAGAGTAATTGTAATAACAATAAAGGAACGATGAAGTTTGAGACAATTTATGAAGGATTTGCATATAAAGTATCGAATGTATGGTTGTTCTTGTTTACTATAATTTTACTTACGAAAATCCTGTTTTTGAATGAATTAAGTAGTTGCGATATGAAAAACAATAATATTGCTTTATCCGAAATAACTTCGAATATATGCTACAAGCTAGGGACCAAATGAATTAGATGGAGTGAAACTCTACAAAGCTATTAGTTATTCATATTGTTAAAAGATAACTAACAACATTAACAGAATCAGATTGTTAAATTATTTTTTTTGAAAAATAACTCAGAACTAAGTGATTAGAAAGTATATATTTTGAAATCTAGGTTTAAATAACACGAAATAATTTTAATCAACGAAAATTGTTAAACAATCATTTAAAGTGCCATTTTCATAGTTATTTTTGGATAAGGTTTATAATCAATCAGTTTAAAATCTTCAAACTTAAAATCATCAATATTCTTGACCTCTCGAACGATCTCCAATTTCGGGAATGGCCGCGGTACACGTTTAACCTATAAAAATGTCGTAAAAGGGAATAGGAGGATGTAATTAGTTTTGGTGACTTAACTTTTCTGATTAAGATTTCATGGCAGTCAAATTGAGGTAAAAGTGATGTGTATGTAAAATCTTTGATGACATATTTAGGATCGTTTTCAGAGGAAAAACGAATGGTTTTCTGTAACGGTTCGAACGGTAACAGTATATAACCTTGAACATCACAATCTAGTCAGGAGTATAATTCCAAATTTAGAAACTAAGCCATCTATATAGACTGCTATAAAATCGAAAAAAAGCTTTCAATTTGTGGTTGATCAATAAGAATGCAACCTTACGGGATTCGAACACGTAGCCAATTAGTTATACTGGAGTCACCCAACGGACAATAAATCGATAATCCTTACTATTAAGAAAAAAACGCAACTTTTGAAACTACGCACTGATAACGAACACCTTCATCTTACCTATGTATTCATATAAATGCATGATGAATCATTTATTTCCCTTAAGCATAGTTCAATAACTCCAATCAATATGCATTTGCACTGCACTGTAAATCAAGAGTTTAGAGTTAGTCTCCCAAAAAACATAATCGTCATATTTAAGTAAGTTCCATTCGTCCTTCAACAATGATCGTACGTAATACTATCGTCGTCATGCCTTAGTAGTTGTGCGACAAAACGATGTCGGGGGCATCCAACTAAAAAAAATTACAAAGCTTTACGATCAAAAAGGAGTATGACTCCGTGTATCTCGTCTCTACGGTCACTTTTCTGTTCCCTTGGTCATCCTACTAATACATATTTAATAGTAACCCGATATATATGGTCACAATACCGACTACGCATTTTCTGACTATACCAATAGTTATCGTTCATAGAGGTAACGGCCATAAGTATATTAACTCGTTCATAATCGCATGGTTATTCAGCACCTACGTACATAGTTCGTACTTTATTCCTAAAGTACTATATTTCTGTAACATACGCTCCTCCCTCACGTATCATTCTGCCGTATGGTACATTTCTTTATGCTACCAGTTTTTGAAATACATTCATATATCGTTAGTGTTATTCCACAAAAATAAATATTATATTTCCAAATTAATGTCCGATTTTCTACAGAGGAACCTCGTAACAACTCGTATCGTTACACGCCTATACGGATAATTCTAAAATTTAAACAGACAAACTGCTCTAATTTTTCCATTTATTTCACCAACTATATATTTGACCATGTCAATTACTTACCTTTAACCTCGATTGTTTTACATTAGCATTTGATTGTACGTGTTTCCCCACTTCCTGTATTCTCTATGGCTTAAAAAACTAAGTCCTTTTATCATTCCTTAAGTCAATGTATTACCGAACTTCAATGGTTTTGTTTGCTTTTGTCATTTAACATTACCGTGACTGAAATATACGTATCCTAGGTAAAATTAATATTCAAATTTTTACATACCATTATTCTACACATATTAACTCAATAAAACATACATAACGAAGTAGGATATACACATATCCTTTCCTTGATAAGCGTTGATTGGTACTGAAGTATAAGGTATGAGGAGCATTGACAACCGATAAGTAAATCCTCTACATAATATAATTTATTACAAGATTAATCCTAGACCAAGTTGTCAAGTATTAAGACAGAATATGCACAAAGCTCAATAACGCCTTATTCATTTTTAGAAAACAAGCAACTATTTCAATGACTAGGATCGACAAAACTGGTCGACTGCAAGGAAATTACACATATAAACAAAGTAGAAAATAAAGTACCAGAATATCTGAAAGTAAGTAACCAACAAGGAAAAACTTCTCCGAAAGAAAACAGGGATTTGTGTTAATTTGGTTGTAACCAACAAATGTTGTCTATCACAGATCTTAACAAATACAAACAGTAATATTCGAATTTACCTGCTCAAGTAACGCCTCACGATGGTTTGAATAAATATGCGCATCGCCAATTGTGTGAACGAACTCACCAGGTTTTAAACCAGTAATATGAGCAATCATATATGTTAATAAAGCATAACTTGCAATATTGAACGGTACACCAAGACCCTATGCATAACAAAAAGGAAGTATCGAATTTAACCAAATATTGAAAAATAGTGCATGCACGAAAGTAATAACTGATGAAATACATGAAATATATCTTTAATAGATCTCCTACACAACAACTTTCAAAAATGTACAAATATAAATCACATCAAAAGAATTACTTGATATAACTGATTGTCGTATCAGTAACAAAATCAATTTTTCATTAAATGTGAAAATTATATTTGAAATATTCTCAGCGATTGAAATATAACTAATTCCAACGTTTCGTCCAGCTAACTTGTCTGGACTTCTTCAGGGTAATAATCAAAATCAAAATTATCAAAGAAATATATAGCTTTTTAACAATCAGGATTATACTGTGTTAAACCAATCGTATTTGGATGTTGATTTTGTAAAATAGGATAAAATGAGTCAGTTAACTACAAATCATGTGAAGAATTCAACTACATGGAAATACTTAACTGAGTAACAAATCGTATGTGTGTGAGTGTGTAGGTATGTATGTATGTGTGAGAGATCGATATGAAGGAATAAATAAAGTTCAAGTTCAAGGATGAAAAATTGATAATGAAACATCGATGTACATGTCAAAACGAAAATTGTATTGTTTAAAAAACTCATTGAATTCTTTCAAAATAATAACGATGCATGTGATATTAAAAAACAGGTTTAAACAAGAGATAGGTTCCAAATTTACTTGTCAAACGAAATTTGCCAAGTAGTTGCCAGTTGAATACCATCTTTTCGGTTCAGGCTGTTATTGTTCGCCCATATATGCAGCGCTTCTGCTGTCAATCTTTCTTTATGGGTGTTAAAACCTTTTTGAGGTATTTTGGTCCCTTCAAAATTAATTTTTTGTCCTGTTTCTAACTCATGTAACGCTATCGCTGACTTATTTTCAAGTTTCTTTAAATCGACCGATGATTTTGGAACATTTTTCAAGCATTGTTTGTGTTCCTTCAATCTTACATTCAATTGCCTGGATGTTTCTCCAACATAGGTAGCATTACAGTCATAACAGTGAATCTCATACACAATGTTCTGTTGTTCTTCCTTTGCTAATTTGTCCTTAACTTTCACTAATGTCGATCTTATTGTGTTATTCGCTCTAAAATACACTCTTATATCATGCTTGTTTAGAATCCGTTTGATTTCTTCTTATGTTTCACTACGGTAAGGTATGACTACGGTGTACTTCCATTCTTTTCGTATACTTTCTAGTTTAGTTTTTCTTTCATTTTTGATAATCTTCTTTAAAAACCTTTCTGGGTAATTGTTATCCCTAAGAGTAGAAAATACTTTATTTAATTCGGTTCGTTGGTCTTCCTTGTCTGTAACAATCTTAGTACTTCTGTTCATTAGATTTTTTCCACATTAATTTTCGTGCTCTGTGAGTGGGCTGAATTAAAATCCAAGTATCTCTCGGAATGTGTTGATTTTCTGTAAACATTTATTTTTAACTTCTTATTATTGTGTCGACTTTCAACCAAACAATCTAGAAATGCTGTTTGCATTGTTAAATAGTTCTTCCATACCATCCTGTTTATTGATAATAAAAATACCGTCTACATACCTTAACCATAACTTTGGTGGAAATAAACGTTTTGCGATTGCACTAGTTCCTAAGGAATGCATGAATAAATTCGCTACAATCGGAGAAACTGGTGACCCCATTGCTATACCCTCTTTCTGTCTGTAAAGTTGACCTCGAAATATGAATAAGGTAGATCTTAAACATAATTCTAAGCATTTTATAACCTCTGATGAATCTAATGGGCATCGTAAATTCAAATCTAAATCAGATTCTAAACAATCATTGATAATATCCATAGCTCGACTGATAGGTACATTAGTGAATAAGGAAAATACATCAAAACTTGCCATTATTTCGTCTTCTTCTATATCGATGGTATCAATTAAATTCTTGAATTCCATAGAGTTTTTAATTCCATGATTAATCCGTTTTTCATATGGTTTGAGAATCTTAGCTAAATATTTAGCTAGATTGTAAGTCGGTGAATTTGTATAGTCTAACACTGGTCTTAGTGGAGTATTTTTCTTGTGGATTTTTGGTAGTCCATAAAATCTGCATGGGTTACAACTCTTTGGATATAACATAAACCATAAGGACGATCCCAGCTTGTATGAGTTTGCTAGTTTCTGCCTTGAGTTTGTTAAGAGTTGTTCTACTTTTTGCTTCTTTGATTTGTTAATATGGACCCTCTTGTAGATGTTCCTTGGCTTTCTTCTCATACTCTATTTTATTCATAATAACTGTAGTATTACCTTTATCTGCTCTCGTTATTATGATCGTTTTGTCCTCTCTCAGCTGTTTTAATGCGTAATATTCATTTTTATTTATGTTAGGGTTGTGAGGTTTCTGATGTAATAATGTGTTCATTATTTTATTCCTCAGTTCATTCGCTGTATCATTCGGGAGTATATTCAGTGCTGGTTCTACTGTTGGTATAACATTGAAAAGTGTTAATTTATGTCTATTTATATTGAAGTTGAGACCCTTTTTAAGTAATGATATTTCATGTGGGTTGAGAGGTCTATCCGATAAATTAACAATTATGTTATTCATATCATATCGTTCAAAGGTTTGCAATATCGATGACATATTGTCAGTTATCGCACCGAACGAAATAAGATCAGATATAATTAATTTTTTCAAACATAGAGAACAATTTTATTATCAATCATCAAAACAACGAAAATAAGGAAGTTTGAAAAACTATTGAAACATTTTTCAAACACCAAAGTTCAACAGACGGAAAATAGGTCTAACACACATGATATGAATAAAATAATTGTTAATTTATCGGATAGACCTCTCAACCCACATGAAATATCATTACTTAAAAAGGGTCTCAACTTCAATACAAATAGACATAAATTAACACTTTTCAATGTTATACCAACAGTAGAACCAGCACTGAATATACTCCCGAATGATACAGCGAATGAACTGAGGAATAAAATAATGAACACATTATTACATCAGAAACCTCACAACCCTAACATAAATAAAAATGAATATTACGCATTAAAACAGCTGAGAGAGGACAAAACGATCATAATAACGAGAGCAGATAAAGGTAATACTACAGTTATTATGAATAAAATAGAGTATGAGAAGAAAGCCAAGGAACATCTACAAGAGGGTCCATATTAACAAATCAAAGAAGCAAAAAGTAGAACAACTCTTAACAAACTCAAGGCAGAAACTAGCAAACCCATACAAGCTGGGATCGTCCTTATGGTTTATGTTATATCCAAAGAGTTGTAACCCATGCAGATTTTATGGACTACCAAAAATCCACAAGAAAAATACTCCACTAAGACCAGTGGTAGACTATACAAATTCACCGACTTACAATCTAGCTAAATATTTAGCTAAGATTCTCAAACCATATGAAAAACGGATTAATCATGGAATTAAAAACTCTATGGAATTCAAGAATTTAATTGATACCATCGATATAGAAGAAGACGAAATAATGGCAAGTTTTGATGTATTTTCCTTATTCACTAATGTACCTATCAGTCGAGCTATGGATATTATCAATGATTGTTTAGAATCTGATTTAGATTTGAATTTACGATGCCCATTAGATTCATCAGAGGTTATAAAATGCTTAGAATTATGTTTAAGATCTACCTTATTCATATTTCGAGGTCAACTTTACAGACAGAAAGAGGGTATAGCAATGGGGTCACCAGTTTCTCCGATTGTAGCGAATTTATTCATGCATTCCTTAGGAACTAGTGCAATCGCAAAACGTTTATTTCCACCAAAGTTATGGTTAAGGTATGTAGACGGTATTTTTATTATCAATAAACAGGATGGTATGGAAGAACTATTTAACAATGCAAACAGCATTTCTAGATTGTTTGGTTGAAAGTCGACACAATAATAAGAAGTTAAAAATAAATGTTTACAGAAAATCAACACATTCCGAGAGATACTTGGATTTTAATTCAGCCCACTCACAGAGCACGAAAATTAATGTGGAAAAAATCTAATGAACAGAAGTACTAAGATTGTTACAGACAAGGAAGACCAACGAACCGAATTAAATAAAGTATTTTCTACTCTTAGGGATAACAATTACCCAGAAAGGTTTTTAAAGAAGATTATCAAAAATGAAAGAAAAACTAAACTAGAAAGTATACGAAAAGAATGGAAGTACACCGTAGTCATACCTTACCGTAGTGAAACATCAGAAGAAATCAAACGGATTCTAAACAAGCATGATATAAGAGTGTATTTTAGAGCGAATAACACAATAAGATCGACATTAGTGAAAGTTAAGGACAAATTAGCAAAGGAAGAACAACAGAACATTGTGTATGAGATTCACTGTTATGACTGTAATGCTACCTATGTTGGAGAAACATCCAGGCAATTGAATGTAAGATTGAAGGAACACAAACAATGCTTGAAAAATGTTCCAAAATCATCGGTCGATTTAAAGAAACTTGAAAATAAGTCAGCGATAGCGTTACATGCGTTAGAAACAGGACAAAAAATTAATTTTGAAGGGACCAAAATACCTCAAAAAGGTTTTAACACCCATAAAGAAAGATTGACAGCAGAAGCGCTGCATATATGGGCGAACAATAACAGCCTGAACCGAAAAGATGGTATTCAACTGGCAACTACTTGGCAAATTTCGTTTGACAAGTAAATTTGGAACCTATCTCTTGTTTAAACCTGTTTTTTAATATCACATGCATCGTTATTATTTTGAAAGAATTCAATGAGTTTTTTAAACAATACAATTTTCGTTTTGACATGTACATCGATGTTTCATTATCAATTTTTCATCCTTGAACTTGAACTTTATTTATTCCTTCATATCGATCTCTCACACATACATACATACCTACACACTCACACACATACGATTTGTTACTCAGTTAAGTATTTCCATGTAGTTGAATTCTTCACATGATTTGTAGTTAACTGACTCATTTTATCCTATTTTACAAAATCAACATCCAAATACGATTGGTTTAACACAGTATAATCCTGATTGTTAAAAAGCTATATATTTCTTTGATAATTTTGATTTTGATTATTACCCTGAAGAAGTCCAGACAAGTTAGCTGGACGAAACGTTGGAATTAGTTATATTTCAATCGCTGAGAATATTTCAAATATAATTTTCACATATAATGACTTGTCTATACTCGGCGCTCAATTAATGTCAAACTATTCGTTCTAATCTTGACGAATATTCGTATAAAATCAATTTTTCTCGGAAGCAAACCAATAAAACCTAAAAACACTGAGGCCAATAAGTGACAGGGTTTAATCCTCTTACGAAGCTAATACCTATCAATGCTAGTAAGCTATTCATCTTATTGAGATACGCTTAACGTGTCCATGAAGTTAGAGTTCATAGTGTTAGCAAATTTGGTAATTATAAACTTAATAAGCAATTATCAAATCCTGTTAACTACTTTTACAGCTAACAAAGGTTTTAAAGAATAAAAAAACAGTTATCTCATGGAACACCAAAAATACTTACCATATCCCCCGAACGTTGATATAATTGACAACTTAACTCATCATTTGCAACATAAAACTGAACAAGACAATGACAGGGAGGAAGAACCATTTTACGTAGATCTAAATAAGCAAATCAGACCAAACGTTTATCAAATAACACGGTGACCACAAAATTATAATCAAACCTGTAAATGACAGTCATGATGATGAATAAACTGTTACAAACGATAGATTAAATGATTTGTACAAATATTCGTCAATATTAGAACGAATAGTTTGACAAAAATTGGGCACCGAGTATAGACAAGTGATTATATGTGAAAATTATATTTGAAACAATCTCAGCAATTGAAATTTAAATAATTCCAACTTTTTGTCCAGACAGGTTTGGAATTATTTAAATTCCAATCACTGAGATTATTTTAAATATAATTTTCACATATAATGATAAATTAAATGATTTAATAAGACTACTAGTAATGACAATGAAATACCAATGAAATTTTGGGACGAAGTTGAACTCTTTACTATTCCCTCTAAGAAACATATTCAAAATCACCATTATATTGATGAAATACCGTGAAATCTTTTTTACAATTAGCCGATGAGCAATCATTGCAACAATTATATCGCTTACACAAACGTTTTTAGTTGAAAAACCCAAGTAATATCATTCAATAATAATTATACAATAATACACTTAAAATACGGCATCAAAAGAAACAATGCAGGCTTATAAATGTTCAATACAATAACGATATGTGATGAACAATATGGTGGCCGTTTGAAAATTTCAAAGATATTTATTTATTTTATTTGAATAATATTGATTCCAGAATTGATGGTCTAAGCAAAAAAAAGTTGATGGGAATTTAAAATTCTTAAAGTCAAACAGTTACAAAAAGTTTACGCGTATAAGTGATCGAATCGCCACGCTTGAATTAAGAAATTATGGCTCTTTAGAATAAGTGAGAAGGAAATGTCAAACCAATTCAAAATAAAGCATTTTGACTGCTAACAATCTTCTGCATATTCGTCATTCTCATTATGTACCTTTAATAACTGTCATTTAAGTAATAATCTAAAAAATAGGGGACTAGAAGTTCTCCAAGTCCAACTGAAGCACTAACGTAGAAAAAAATGTTATGTAATACCTGTGGTCTATCTTATTGGTATGCGACTAAGAAACTACGATATTCTAGGGATTTGTTTATAGGCTGAATTTTCAGGCACTGATCTCCTACAAGGAGGTCCACTTATCGACTTAGAATACGCAGATGACATAGTCCTGTTTGGTGAAGACGCTGATAAAATGCAGTCTTTTTGTAGCACTGAGCAACAATGCCAGGGTGTTCAAGAAGCATTTCTCCCCCTCTAAATGCAAGTTGTTGCTTCATGACCGCCCTGCATCAACACATGAACTAAGGATAGGGAATGAAGTAGTCGAACGCATCGACAACTTCATTTACCTAGGAAATCTGATCGGCTTTAATGGATTGGTGTTTGACATCACTGCACGGATTCAAAATTCTCGTTTCGCTATTGCCAACATACATCACCTATGGCGAAGGCGAGATATCCGTCTACCCATTAGGAAACGAGTATGCTGCGCGGCAGTTCGTTCGGTTCTGATTTACGGCTGCGAAACGTGGCCGTTAAGGGTAGAAGATACTCGTAACTTACTAGTATTTGACCACAGATGTCTTAGAAATATTGCTCGCATCTGCTGGGATCACCAGGAAATTAATAGTGAGGTTAGACGCAGGGTATTAGGGAATGATGGTAAATCAGTCGATAAGGTTGTAAATCTACATCAGCTAAGATGGTTGGGCCACGTGTTACGTATGCCTGAACACCGTTTACCACGACGCACAGTGCGGACTAGTGTTGGAGATGGATGGAAGAAAGTTAGAGGCGGCCAAACCAAAACGTGGCATCGGCCTATAAAGTCTCCAACTTCTAGCCATTCAAAGTCTCTAACCATTGGTTGCGATAATCACACGAACCTCAACCAGGTAATCTGCACCTATTAACATGGATCAGTACAATTATCAATATCTTCATCAAAGACACCTATGACCGAATACCAGTAAACTACCAATATCTATTCTTAATGGCTATGTTTCCCACTCAAAATGTAGGACGGGGTGAAGTCCTGAGCAGTAAACTCTTCCTTTGGTTGGAAGACGGATATCTCACCCATGCTGCAAGTGACACGAGTTGGCAAAAGCCAACCAAGCCTTCTGAATCCGTACCGAGATTTCGTCACACATCAGACCATCAGTACTGATGATAGTCCAAAGATTAGTAAGGCGGTTGATGCATCCAACTATCTCACTACCTATTATTAATTCAGGCGTTGACGCAAGCCGATCCTGAAGCAACATTTTGCATTTGGAGGGAGAGAACCGCATCCTAAACATGCTTGCATTGTTGCTTAAGGTGGTCAGAAGGCTCTGAACTTTGTCAGCATTTCACCAAACAGAACTACATCGTCTGCGTATTGTAAGTCAACAAATAATTCTCCTGACGGAAGATCAACCCTTGAAAAGTCGGACGGTGAGATCGTTATCCCTAAAAGCATGTCCATGACAAAGTTAAATAAAAATGGGTAGAACAGACAACCTTGACGAACATCTTGAAGTAACTAATTCTGACGACAGTTTGCATAAGCTGACTTGACCAGTAGTGTTCGAGTAAGGAGGCTGTACAAGGTAGACAGCCCCCGAATGTCCTGGTACGGCCGAGAGTGTGGAGAGTCCGCTCTCCCTCTCGAAATACTCTCACACGGCCGCGCGTATACAGCCTCTGCCAGGGAAGTCCTACTCATTGCCTTCTCGTGGCGGGGTTGTTGTTTACGAAAATGAGAGGACGAAAAGCGAATGTCCGGCGCTTTAACCGGATTCCAAACCAATGGTGCACATGGGCTACAGTATCCTGCGGGAACAAATGGCGTATGAACCAATCGTTGGTCACCGACTACCATGGGATTGCATCTCCTTACGATGCTCCACTGCCTTGTGGATTAGACCTTTAGGTCAAAGGCTCGGGGAGTGGCCCCCTAAGATAACCACCTGCTTCGGTTTGGGCACCCGGGCAGTATCACAGCCCACACACAAATGATGAACTCTTTATGTCTATGGAAATTACTTTTCTCACTTCGAATAACAATCAAATAATTCAAATTATTATCATTACAATTATTGTCATTATTAATACTATTATTATTACTATTATTGTCATTATTATTATTATTATTATTATTACTATTATTATTATTATTATTATTATTATTATTATTATTATTATTATTATTATTACTATTTCCCATATTATTCACCCTCTTTTATACTGATACAACGCCTCGTCTTTGGTGGAAATTCGACTGTATCTAAACGTTCTTAAGTCACTGTCCGGTTGAAAATTGTATGTTACCACCGTATATGAGTACTGAAGCAGTTTTTCTGAAACCACGTGCACCATTAAAACTGGCTGCCTTCAAGGTTCGCACATTTATGCAGGTCGGACAACAGATAGGGCTGGCTATGTCTTTGGAAAGTCTTAATATTGATGTTTGTTGTCTATCCGAGACCCGTATTCAAGACTCTGGCGAAGTACTACAAATTCGATCTCCATCTGTCGCTTCGAAAAGCTTGTTTTACGTGCGCTTATCCGGGGACTCTGTGGCATCTTCATCTGGTGTCGCACTAAACGCTAGAGCTGAGGCAGCACTAATCGATTGGATCCCCATTAACAGTCGGTTATGTGCTGTTAGATGAAAGAGTTCCATCAAAGTGAGAAGAAATCGGCGTGGGAAACTATGTTTTTTCGTCATCTCCTCCTATGCTCCGACAGATTGTAGCCCGAATGCAATCAAGGATGGGTTTTTCCACCAGTTATCCGTTCTTCTCCAGAAAGTGCGTTCGACAGATATTGTAGTACTAGCCTGAGACGTGAATGCTCAGGTCGGGTGTCTAGGCACAGAAGAGAGTCGTCTAGGTGACCGATGGGGACTTGTTGGTCGCAGGACAGATAACGAGGACCGTCTACTGCAACTATGCACAGACCACAACCTGTTTCTGGCTAGCACTAACTTACGGCACAGTCATCGCCGATGTGCCACCTGGCGTCCTCCCTCTGCATTTCAAGCCTGGACTCAGATTGATCACATCGCGATCAGCTACCGCTGGCGTGGTTGTGTACAAGACTGCCGCTCCTTTTGGAGTACCTATCTGGACTCTGACCATGCCTTGGTCTGCGCCAATCTTACCTTACTTTTCAGTGGACAACGAAGTCACCGCCACCAACGGATTGATGTTAGCAAGCTGGTTGCAACTTCTGTTGCAAGTAAGTATCGAACCGAGCTAGTTTCTAGGCTAGCTACCACTCCACCGAAAAGTATGGATGAGCATTGGTTGCAATTGCATGACGCCATGAAAATGGCGGGTACAGTCAGTTGTGGGTTCGTGAAAAGTCCTGCTCATAAGAGTTGGGTTTCTTCTGGTTCCTTACAACTCATTGAAGCCCGTCGGTCTACTCCAGGTGACCATGAGTTTGACCATAAACGAAGGATGTTACGTAAGGAAATTGGGCAAAGCTTGCGTAAGGACCGAGAAGCCTGGTGGTCGAATCGTGCTAATGAGCTGGAAGCAGCAGCTGCATCTGGTAACTAACGGAAGCTCTTCCAACTCATCCGAGCCACTAGCAGCAAGAAGTCTGGTGTGAGTGAAACAATCTGCGAGGATGGCGGGATGCCAATCACTAACATCCATCGAAGTCTTGGACGATGGGCAGAATCCGTCGAAGGGCAGTTCAACTGGCCTGCTGCTCCGGCAACATCGGTCAGACTGTCCTGCCCTCCATGGCAGGTGACGACTGATCCACCAAATGAGGCGGAACTCCGCAAGGAACTCCAACTCTTGAGGCGCTACAAATCACCTGACCCAGATGACTTACCTCCGGCCCTTTTTAAAGATGGTGGTGACTTTTTGACTAAGGAATTGACGACGTTGTTTACAAAGGTTTGGGAACTAGAGAGTGTACCAACGTCATGGAATGAGTCGATAGTTGTCCCTATCTTTAAAAAGGGTTCACGTCGTTCCTGTAACAACTATCGGGGGATAAGTCTACTTCCGATTGCGTCCAAGATATTGGCTTCCGTCATACTTCGTAGGTTGTTCAAAACCCGAGAAAGACTGACTCGCGAGGAGCAGGCTGGGTTTCGTTCCGGTCGAGGATGTATTGATCATATCTTCACCCTCCGCCAAATGTTAGAACACCGCCATACTTATCAAAGGCCAACAATCGTAGTGTTTCTTGACATCAGGACTGCCTTCGATTCGTTGGATAGGACTGTTCTCTGGGATTGTCTATTGAAGAAGGGTGTGCCTGAGAAGTCTATTAACATCCTAAAAGCCCTATATACAAACACCTCAGGCAGAGTGAGGGCATACAACCACCTCTCTCCATTGTTCCATTCGAGCAGTGGGGTTAGGTAGGGTTGCCCAATCTCACCATTCCTCTTCAACTTTGCCATCGATGACATTCTAGAAACAGCTCTGATGAATGTAAGTAATGGTGTGGATCTGTTGCCTGGAGAAAGACTTCTCGACCTTGAGTATGCGGACGATATTGTCTTACTGTGCGATAATGCCCAAGGCATTCAATCCGCACTTAATCAGTTGGCAATCAGTGTCCGTAGGTATGGTATGTGCTTTGCACCTTAGAAGTGCAAAGTACTTCTACAAGACTGGCAGGATTCCAATCCTGTACACACCCTGGATGATGAGCAGATAGACGTAGTCGAGAAGTTCGTGTATCTGGGTAGCTGCATAAGTGCTGGTGCGGGTGTGGGTGATTAGATCAATGCACGTATATTGAAAGCCAGAGCGGCTTATGCCAATCTGGGCCACCTTTGGCGCCTTCGTGATGTTAGTCTGGCTGTAAAAGGTCGGATCTACGTGTCGGTGAGAGCAGTTTTGCTCTATGCTTGTGAAACCTGGCGTCTCCGAGTTGAGGACGTTAGACGACTATCTGTGTTCGATCACCGCTGTCTCCGAAGGATTGCTGACATTCAGTGGCAACACCATGTCAGTAATGCAGAGGTTCAGCATCGTGTGTTCGGGCACAGAGATGATAATTCAATTGGTGTCATCATCTTGAAACACCGACTTCGTTGGCTTGGACATGTTCTACGAATGTCGTCCCAGAGAATTCCACGTCGTGCATTATTTGCCGACTCTGGGACTGGTTGGAAGAAGCGGAGAGGTGGTCAGTGCATGACATGGTGTCGTGGTATGAAAGAAAGCTGCAAAGGACTGGCTTCTGTCGGTCCTTCACGACTCCCTGGTTGGGGTCCGAGAGATGGTGCTACACAGTGGCTAGAGACGTTATCAGATATGGCTCAGAATAGAAGCCAGTGGCGATCCTGCCGTAACCTTCTTTTACTTTCTTCATAAAAAGTGGTTGTCTCCCTTACCTGAAAGATTTCTTCTAATTGTACCTTTCCGTTCTCTCGTTACTACCACACTACCTTACACCAATCTCTTCGTTATTGTTCTCTTTTTCTTTTTGCGCTCCTTAGTTTTTTTTATTTCTCTTCGAATTCTCATTGTTTTGTGTGGCACATATATATTGGCGCTCTTCAGTACCAATATTTTCGTAAACAACACCCGCGCCACGAGAAGACAATGAGTAGGACTTCCCTGGTAGAGGCTGTATACGCGCGGCCGTGTGAGAGTATTTCGAGAGGGAGAGCGGACTCAGCCCACTCTCGGCCGTACCAGGGCATTCGGGGGCTACACCTATAGTCGGATGTCGAAAAGTATGTCTATGTTCTAGAGCACGCTGAAGGGTGAATATTTAGTCTATACATTCACGTTTGGGTCTGAAACAAGCCTGGTATTTCCTTCATGAGCTCTAGTTAGACTTCGAAGTATTATTGAGGCTAACATTTTAGACACTATATTAGTTAAACTGATTCCTCTATAGTTGTCACAAGATGATTTTGCCCCTTTTTATAAACTGGGACGATTAGCGATTGAGACCAGTCAGTTACCAGATTTCGGTTAAGATCTCACTTAATTTAACTAAGTAAAATTTTTAGAGGTTAGTCCACTAGGCCCAGTTGCTCTCCATCGCTCTAGATTGCTTATATCCTTTCCAACCTAAATAAGTTGGAGTATTTATGTCAGTTTGTCATTTAGGTTGCTTGGAGAGTGGGTAAATAAAGTGTGGCGGAATCCCTATCTTCTACATTGAGAGTGAATAGTTCCGTCTTTTTCCGGAATATTTTAACTGACAGTCGGATTTTTAACATCCGTTTTCTTGATAAGTTCGAACAATTGTCTACTGCTAACTTTTGATACGACCTTTTTTATCCCTTCTGCCTTCATTACTTATCACTCTTCACGACCAATACGTAGGCGTTTCGTCGGCCTACGCTCAAGCCGCCTCTGATACTCATCGTGCTTGGAACCAGGCGGGATGTCAGTTTTAAGGATACCATCGAAATCCACCGCTGTTTATTAACCTTTGAGTTTAAGTTACTAGTAAATATTACTGCTTTTTCGACAGAACTTTGAACATCACACCAAGCTACCTCGGGGAGGATATATTTTTCATGGTTGACTAACTCCTGCTTTAACTGTTCCTGAAATATATTTTTGACTTTTTTGTCATTGAGTTGAATTTTAAGGGGTTTTCTTCCTGTGGCTTTTCTACATCCCGTAAGATGCTCGAACAAGAGCATGATCCGAGTTCAAACATATGCTCCATAATGAACGAGAGTCCTTTATTTAGCCCCTCCAACGATGGCTATGATCTATTTGAGTCCATCGATGAGCCGCTTGTGATCACCACGTCAGACGATATTTCTCTTTATTTTTAACGTTGATATTTCTTAGAAATGGACGATTATCTGAGTGTAGTTGAAGCAGACGGTCAGCATTATTTGTTCAATGAGCCGCAACACCATAAGATCCACCTACATCCCTTTCGGTTTGGTTTAGTTTACCTATTTGAGCATTAAAATCACACGCCATTATTATTGCATCAGACCGTTTAGCTTTTTGGAGGCTGGATAGCTTTCTATAAGATTCGTCCTAAACTTTATAGCCATGTGGTACCGTATTTACCGGCGAACTCGAAGGTCCTGGGTTGCATTTTGTGAGAGGTCGTGAGAATCCACCGTTAAGAGGAAACAGCTAACTTGTAATGAATATTTTTGCCGAACTGGGGCAAAGCGACAAAGCATTTCTGAACACTGAGTTTTAGATTGGAACACCATGCCACCTAATTTAGTTTGAGCAAATGGGAAGAATTGCCATATCCATGACACGAGAAAGTAACCCAAATACAAGTACTCGATCCTCGATTGAACTAATTACCTGTACTATCTATTAGATTTTTTCTACATAAGTAATGAATGAATTGGTAAATTTTAAAATTACGAATGACGTAGTGAAAATAAATGTTTGAGTAAGTAGTCCTTAGTACTACACAACATGATATAAAAGTGAACATAGATTTAGCAATTTCAAGAAATGAATACCCCAAAATATTTTGGAAAACGTTTGATCTGTTTAAAAATAGATTTCCTCACCTTTAACATTCCAAGCCACAATCATAATCCTTCTATCCCAAGGGCGCTCACGTATAAGTTTTATTACATCAGCAAGTTGATCAACACCTTGACCAGTATAGTCGGTTTGACAGTCTACGTATTCTGCTCCACTGTGACGCCACTGGAAACCATAAACTGGACCGAGATCACCTTCAATATTTTGAGTAAAAATATGAAAACACGAGTAGCAACGATAACGTAACTAAACCAGTAGAAATTACTTGAAATCATCCTGCCACGCTTCAAATTTTAACGCTAATGATACAACTCATTGTATGGAAAGCGAATTCTGAGGAATAAAACTCAACCAATAAAAATGCACCAGATTACTTCATTATGAAAAGCTAACGCCTTGACGAGAGAACTAACAAAAATATTCTTATTTAACAAGTAGCAACTTTGACTAAAGATAAAGAGGACTTACTGCATACCCTAGTTTGCTACAAAGAATATAGGCCCACTGTGATTAATCCTACACGAGTAGTGTTATTTCCCAATAACTGAATATGAAACCGAAAGGATCAAAAATATGCTTACAACAAAACTTTATCACGTTCTTCACGATGAACTACTTACTACTAGTAAATAAGCAATAATAATTTAACAGACATCAACTTGTATTAGAAACTGGAAACCATCCCATGACATTAGTGGTAATTTGATATATTCCCATGACCTACAGTAAGAAAATAATTTCGCCCTATAAATTAGATTAACCTTATTTCATCGCTTTTAATTATATATAACTTCAACTTTAGCTGACTTATGCAGTACTAGTTCCCTATTTATAGTAACTTTATTGATGACTAAGTGTTGTATGAACAAAAATAAGTGAATAAAATTTATTGAAGACAGTAATCATGTGTGAAAATTATCCTTATGATTAGTCATTAGTCTTAGAGTGAATGAAAGGTCAAATAACAGCAAATATCACTTATGTCAAGAAAACAAACTGATTCATAAATTATTACAAACTATTTTAATGACCTCACCTTCTTCACGCTCAGTAAATCCTAGTCCATCTAAAAATTCACGAGATCCATTTGCATCCCAGAAATGTACATTCTTTTCCGCCAGTTCACGAGAATTTGTAGATCCACGAACAAACCATAATAGTTCTTCTACGATTCCGCGAAAAAACACCTACTAAATCATATTTTAGAAGCTTAAACTATTGGTAAAGAAACCTAGCTTAGGTGCATATGATATATATATATATATATATATATATATATATGTGTGCTTGGTCTTTTGGTATAAATTCATTTAGAAGCTATACGCCTATAAATCGGGCTTGTGAACAGTTATCACTCAGTCACAATGGATTATCGCACATAATCAGATCACCATTCAACCAGTTACCCAATAAAAATAAACACGAATGCGGTTGAACATTTCAGCATTCCATGAATTTGAAATCTAAGTTTAGAATGAACTGTACTCACACTAAACTACAACAACCAACAAAATCCTACTACAATGCTTATTAACGAAACTTTAGAGATCATAATCTTATAGTCGTTTACATAAATGTGATGAGTAGTACTTTAGTGGTTAAAAGATTTTACTTTGTCACTAGATCCCAGGTTCGAGACCCAATCCACCTACTTTAGTCTGGATAACTGGATAGTATCACTAACCCTTACAATTAGTGTGGCTCGAAGCCAAGTATACCGATTTGTACCTGGTAATACTAGTTAACTGTTTATTACTAACGATTTCAATCTGACAGCATAATCATAGGGAATATTTTGTTTCGTGAGGTCATTTGGAAAGCAATTAGGGGTCATAATCTTTAACATGTCATATTTTCAGGTTTAGGCAGTTATTTATTATTTCTAATTTTCATACAGGCCTAGCTTGAAATCTGAGTTACGAATTTTAGCCGCATTTTAAAAAGTGATGAATACTTGGATAAACGAGTTTATGATATACAAGATTAAGGAAACTTTTTTTCTGACCATTTAAAAAACGAGAAAAAACGGTAAAATCGGTTTGATGCTGCAGTCACTGAGATACATTTCTGTAGTATAAACAAAATGGCAATCAACAGTAAAAATACCGAGTGTCAAAATTAATTTTAAAAAAGTAAAAGGAAGGCTGCAATAGTGTATATCTATCCACTGGAAGTTAATAACAGTGGCATAACTGTTAAAGACATGATATGACCAACAAGTCTAAAAAGCATCTTCGGATAGTAAAAAGATAAGAGAAAAGTGAATATAAATCAAACCGGAACAGCTTAATTATGAGACAACTTCCGAATCTAAGGGTGAAAATACACAAAAATATGAATGTTCTATTAGTTTTGCTTTTGAGATATTTTACTTGTTAGTGTATATCTTTTAGACTTCTAAAAAACTTCTAGAAAAAGTAATGTATATCGGAAGGGCTTTAACAACAATTAATTTAAAGAAACTGATGAGTACTTTTGATTGCATATCTTGAGATATATTTTCTAAACCACAGTGCCTCAGCTCTCATTTAAACCTAACATATAGAAAAGGATGAATTATTCGCTTTGCAAAATACCAAGCAGAAAAACCATTTGATAAGACAGATAAGCACGAATAAAATTCAAATATCCAAAGCATTCACAAACATACTGTTTTTGTAGTCAGTAGAGGATATTCTTGATTTCTAAGAGAAAAGCGTAGCTGTGGACCGAAAACTCCAAACGTCCCTGTGTCGGTACGATCTCTCCGTTCAACGCCATCGGAAAGTATATATCGCAACAAGTTTAAGTAGCCATTCTCACCGAATATGTGCTCGGGGAAAAATGAAAATCCTGTTGGTGGATTTTCAACTGCTAAATCCCTGAATAAATAAACAAAGTTTGAGTGACAAGAATAATAATGGACGCTTAAAAACTAGTACGTAAAGTCGCCGTAAGCTAATGATAGACATATGGTTATAGCGTCTCATTGGCGCTAATATCGATCTTTCAGCCGCTGATTTATCGAAAGCAACAAAGAATTTTAAGGCTGGTAATAAAAAATGGTTATCATTTCCATCTTATAATTGGATACTAAAAAGAAGTTTAGTAAAACACAGAACCAGGAAATTCGCCAATATATTACGTAGAAATATCTGAGATAATCGTAGTGCACACAAGGACAAGAACAGACATTGAAAATACAATCCAAATAAGAATCCAATTAATGTAGGTGCTTCATTAGCATCAAGACTACCTGGACTTTCTACTTTAAGTTATTTTATGACTCTACCCCAAAAGTGATGAAACAATGTAAGTTTATCTAATACAAATTTTCTTCCTAGGGACTTTCATCGAATATAGATCAATCTCATTTAACACACCAGCAGTACTTAGATAGCTACTTGTATACCCTCCTCTTGACTTATTTCAGAACATCACAGAGTAATTGCAGGTATACGTCTCTGTCGGTTTGTATTAGTTTATAGCTTAGTAAAACACATATACTTACGAAAGCTTATTGACAACTCAGTAACCTGTGTATAAATAAACAGTTAAGTGATATAAGCCATTTAATTGATATCAAGTGGTTTTTTGAGGGGCAGTTTAACCGGTCTGTCGCCCCGACGACATCAACCAGACTGTTCCGCGCCCCATGGCCGGTGACGAATGGTCCACCTAACCACACGGAAGTTCGCAAGGAACTCCAACCCCTGGAACATCACGAGTCACCACGTTCAGATGACTTACCTCCGGCCCTTTTTAAAGATGCTGGCGACCTTCTGGTGAAGGAACTGAGTTGTTTACAAATGTCTGGTAATTAGGCAACGTTCCAACATAGCAGAATGAGTCAATGGTTTCCCCTATCTTAAAAAAGGTTCACGTCGCCTATGCAACAAACAACGGGGAATAAGTATACCTACGATCATATCTTCACCGTCCGGCAAGTGTTAAAACACCGTCATACTAATTACAAGTCAGCAATTGTGATGTTTCTTGACATTAGGGCCTCCTTGGATTGGTTGGACAGGACTGTCCTCTGGGACTGTCAATTGGAGAAGTGTGTGTCTGAGAAGTTTATTAACATCTTAAAAACCCTATATACAACCACCTCTCCCCACTGTTTCATTCAAGCAGTGAGGTTAGACAGGGTTACCCAATCTCTCCATTCCTTTTCAACTTTGTCATTAATGACGTTCTGGAGATAGCTTTGATGGATGTAGGTAATGGTGGTGCGGATCTGTTGCCAGGAGAAAGACTTTTCGACCTTGAGTATGCGAATGATATTTTCTTACAGTGCAGCGACACCCAAGCGATGCAAAATGCATGTAATCAGTTGGAAAGCAGTGTCCGCAGGTATGGCATATGTTTCTTACCTTCTAAGTGCAGAGTACTTTTACAAAACTGGCAGGAACCTGAACCTCCACTCACTCTTGGTAGTGAGCAGATAGAAGTAGTTGAGAAGTTCGGTTATTTGTGTGAGAGCTGGTGGTGGTGTGAGTGATGAGATCAATTCACGTATAGTGAGAGTCAGAGCGACTTAGGCTAGTCTGGGCCATCTTTTCCGCCTTCGTGATTTTAGTCTGGCTGTAAAAGGTTGGATCTACAACGCGTCGGTGAGAATAGTTTTGCTCTACGCTCGTGAAACTTGGCCTCTCCACACGAATTAATTATCACCTTGTTCGAGAAAGGATAAAATAATCGCTCTACATTCAAAAGATAGAACACTCTCAGTCTCATTAGTTTTTTAGTCTAGATGTCATTTCCGTTTTCAAGAAACTAGAGGTCTGAGTTTGAGCCATCTCTACTTGATAAGTAATGGCACTTCACATGATGCTCTTTACTTTTAGGATGTATGTCACCACTTAATTCATGAAAATACAGTAGCTAACTGGACAAACCTATTTTTATTAAATCAAAGTTGTCTTCTTCTGAATGTTACCGCCTGGAAAAAAAATGTTCTGTCGTTTATGGAAAAAAGTCAGAAGGCCCAACGTTGGACCCAAATAGATCACATCGCTATCAGCCACCGATAGAGGGGTTCGATAGAAGACTGTCGCTCATTCTGGAGCACATGCTTAAATTCAGATCATGCTCTAGTGCGAGCGCGTATTTGTCTGCGCCTTACTGGACGTAGGAAAGATGACGCGAGGAAACCCCTTAGTAGTGATGTCTGTAAGTGAGATAAACTATAAGGTTAGGAAGAAACACTGGATCACAGCAAAATCTACCGCACTGATAGATGCTCGAAAACTCATTCCAACTGGCTTGGAACATAACGAAGAGCGGGGTCAGCTTAAGCGCATGCTCATAAGAAGCCTACACAATGATCGTGAACAGTGGTGGGTAGCGAAAGCAAGAGAGATGGAAAAAGGCAGCCGAAATAGGTAACAGCAGACAACTGTTCAGGCTTGTTAAGGAAACCGGTATTAGGAACCCGACTATTAGCGAAAATATCTCAGAAAAAGAATGGACATATTATAAATTCTCAATCCAGGAGATTGGATCGATTACAGCTTATACTTTTACTACCTCTACCACTACGGGATTTGAATCGACAACTACATCTCTGTGCTAATGTGGTGTGGCAACTCAAGCTGATGTACGTACATACGAAGGTCAATGTTGTTACTGACTGACTGACTGAATTTCGAGGATTATTTGTTTTAATATAATTCCTGAGGTCCGAAGCTATGATTAAATATTTACAAGTAGATATTTGGCCTCAGCCAATAACAAAGTAACAATACTGTAGCTATATGATTTTCGGAGATTACTCAGAACTGAATAAATATCTAGAACTCAATAAACAATTATTAACAAATAATAAAATCACAACAGTTCGCAAAATGTAATGCACCTTAGATTATCAAGCATACATACGTGACTATCAACTGAAATGAAACATTTAACAAATACAACTGAATAACAGTTTCCCGAAGACAGCTAGTTCACTAAATGCTTTTGAAATGGGTGGCTCAGCTGCAATACCTTAGGTTAGTCTATATTGCATTTTGAAAAACGTTTTACACACCGCTCCCTATAAACAAGTTTAGCTACATAATAATACTAGCACAAGAGTTCCTCTAATTAAATATTTCATTAAATGTGTCTGAAAACTAACAAACGCACTTTTCAGAGGCCTTTTGATTTTCACGTGCTTCCATAATCAGTTCTATCAAATGATCCCAATTGAAATTAATTGGGACTTTTGCAGGGAATTCCGAATATCCAAGTAACTAAAAAATACAGAGCTGTTGAGATTCGCCTGAAAAAACAGGAATATAACCTGAGAAAGGTGAGTCACTGAAAGTAATCACATGTTACAAACAGCATAGATATAGTCAACAACCTCGACAAAAAAAACACCAAAAACAACGATAACATGAATTAGCGATATATATATAATGGTTACACCTGAGACTATCTATTATCCATGACATACAGGTTGTGGCGGTTACCAATCTGGCAAACCCGGTGAAACTTTTAACATTGGAGAACTTAACAAAATCAACAAACCAGAGATCAAGGTAATTTGGGCGGAAGAGAAAATTTATTCCCAATTTCGTATAGTTTTAATAAGCAAAAAAACGCTATATTATCACTTAATTAGGGCACATAAAGAACCCACTACATAAATGAAGCGACAGTGTGTGACGAAATAAAAGAAATAGAAGAGTAGTTCAAAAACAAGATAATAACTAAGTGGATGGGAATAGGCTATAATACGAGAATGTTGTTAAAATATAACACCAAGACAAGACTTCTTTCAGTCAACTATTCCTCTCAGGTTTACGAGTCATAAATAAAAGATAAGATAGGCAGCATTTATCGTGACACTGTGGATGATGAAAAAATTCAAACAACGTTCATTTATGGCAGAAGACATCTGAGATATATATCTTACATAATAAAGCCTCAACTTGCAGTGAGGATTACACGTCGAGCAGCAACTCAGTCATCCACAACGTAGGACCAGGCACATATATGCATCGATCCAAGTTGCTAAACCTCATTAGCACAAGATGACCACCAAATTCATAGACGCAGTTACTTTAGTAATAGTTGTACATAAAAAAGATTGAGTATAAGAATGCGGTACAGGAAGTAAGAATTAGTGCGTACAAAGAAGGGTATAAAGTGATTCTAATCTCACGGTTTAAGGGAAGACAGTGTATACACCTACACCATTGTGATCGATTCTGAGCCATGTCACCAACCAAGTGGTCTGCATCTACCAACATGGCTCAGACCAGAAGTTGGTGACTTTGTGGACTGATACCACGTTTTGGTTTAGCGGCCCCTAACTTTCTTCCATCCGTCTCAGACACTAGCCAGTAATGCGCGCCGTGCAGTGACTACCTAGTTGGATATAAGAAACTATAGCTTTTATTTAGTGATTCAAGGTATGTCATGTTTACAGTAACTACTGGTCAACGTAATAACAGTAGACCTAAAAAATATTTTAGACTCTGGGACAAGCTTTTTTCCATAACTACAGGGATAGACTAGATGAAGGGAACATAAAACGAGTATGAAAGCAAGTTTATACTTCGTTGTTTATGTTTTGACTGTTGTGCATATTTTTTTATTTCAACGCTCAGATTTTTCGTAATATCTTCTCGACAGTCTAGTGGTATTGATGTTGCTAGTTTGCCAGTACATTACAGTATGTAATATTATTCATATTATACATAACGTTCAAACTATTCTTATTACCCACGTAACCATATTTATATACCGGTAAACTTTGCTGCAGAATTCTGTAGAAAGCGTAATCTAAAATTTCTCTTTATTTTTTTATTAGAACACAGACATTGGTACAAGAGGGCACTAAATACACATGCGCCGCAAAATAACAATGATACCAGTAGCAGTTACCATTTATTTGTGTGAAGGCTGTGATACTGCCCGGGTGCCCAAACCACAGCAGGTGGTTTTCTTAGGGGGCACACCCCAAGCTTCTGACCTAAAGGTCTAATCCATAAGGCAATGGAGCAACGTTAGATACAGTCTCATGGTAGCCAATGACCAACAACTAGTTCATACGCCATTTGTTCCCTCAGGATCCTGGGGTCCATGTTCACCACTGGTTTGAAATCAGGGTTTTCCAACTCCCTTAGGTGAACTCTCCGTGTCCACCAACCAGGTTAAAGCGCCGGACATTCGATTTTCGTCCTCCCCATTTCGTAAACACCTCTACCGCGAGAAGGCAGTGAGTAGAACTTCCCTGGCAGTAGCTGTATACGCATGGCCATGTGAGAGCATTTCGAGAGGGGAAGTGGACTCTCCCCCACCCTCGACCGTACCAAGGCGTTCTGGTAAAATACAATCTTCAAATAAACATCGTGCAAGTGTGTGTCTCGGTATTATTTATTTATTATTTATTTGAACACATGAATATTGGTACAAGAGAGCGCCAATATATATGCTTGAGTATTCTTCCCAAAACGGAAGATAATTTAGTCTAATTGACTTCATAACTTGTGATTACTTAGATTTTGTACCCAATCTCTCTATTTCGGGGGAAATTTAGGGAGGCCCCTATAGAAAATTTTGGGGAAATGAAACGGAAACTCCGAAATTGGAAGACTGGGTAGTAAGGAATTTAGAAGTAGAATATTTCTCAGATGAGGTTCCGGGGGGAAATGCGCTTTGGAAGGATGAGGGATACTACCGAGGAGAAACTTTGGTAACAGTAGACCTAGTAAGTTGTGTAGTGGAGATTAGACGTTTTAGAGATTTTGAGGAAAAGAGTGTGAAATTTTCAGGGGGGGGAGATTTAGGCTTAAAACGTCTAGAACTTTAAACATTTCGGAAACTTGGAGGATATCCGGGATAAACGTCTAATTCCCCTACATTTCCCACATCTCTGTTAGGTGGGTTGCCTTCATATCCCAATCTCACTATCTTGGAGAACTTCGGGGTTTTCCCCCAGAGTCGTAAGAAATATGGTAGTTTCCCCCAAGGTTTGGGGAAACTCCAAACTGTGATAGGATTCTAGGGAAATGTTGGGGAAAACCCAAACATTTCGGAGGTTTTCTGCCATTTTACCGAAATATCCCCGAAGTTCTCCACAGTGATTTCCGCAAAATTTACCCAAAAAGGACAAACTTTTTCTCAAAATAGGGAGATGGGAATATATTGTAATTTATATACAGTACACAAATTTTAAGAAAAATCCTGTGGATCTTGATCAGATGCAGAGGATAAATTAAGACCAATGTGCTTACCCAGGACCTTTATTGGGGATGAGATGAAGTTAAGTAAACACAAAACAACTCCAGCGCGACGATTTTAAATGGGGCGCCTTATTTTAACAAAACCCATTATCGTGCATGACATTACATGCGAGGTCACAAAGCTAGTGTTTAATGACGGCTCATGTGGCGATTAGCGTCTAGCCGACAGGGTCTTGTGTACTAGGACAGTATTAGGGTAGCTTAAGTGAAGACAGCTAGAGAAGAACAAAAGAAAAGTTGACAGACACTGCACTTAACCTTAGTGGGGAGAGTAATAGAAAAGTGCCAGTTTACGTAACTTTGCTGAAAATTCATTGCCCCCAATTTTTCCCTCGTTAATGTTAACAATAACTTTATGACTGTCCGATAAGGATACTTACCCGGCCACAATACTAGTTTAAATCTCCGAAAAAAAATATTGTGACTGTCTCCAGACACACCACATGAAGCAGTTCTTCTCTCTGAGATATTCGGTATAACAATCTTCTAGAACCAAAAGATAAGCGGCTAGACGTAAAACTCGGTCGGTGAACTATTGTTAAAATGAGTCCGTCAGAATAAGAGTTCGAAGCTACATGCCTTCCCACTGTGTGTAGACATGTTACTTCCCCCAACTAAATGATGAAATTCAACTAGGGTCAACGCACTCTGGTTCCCTTTCATTGTAGTCTAACAAACGTTTAAGTTAGCTGTTACATTGTCTTACCTAATTTAGTAACTGAACGAGGCGATGTGAATTGGAATTCGAGGTTAGCAATCATTAGTTTACTACTCGTTAGCAGACTGACCTTATCGACTTTATTATAATTTTTCCTCAACTACAAGCAAACAAGCGTTTTTGTTCATTATTTTTACATCGTCAGTCTCTTTTTTCTTCTCTGTTGAATTACTTTACTTTTATCTGCTTTAATATTTACATTAAGTCCGCTGAGTTTTTTACTGCGTACCTACCGTAATTTAGAAAATTAATCCATTGTGTAACATTATATGATAGCCTAATTTAGCCTATCTGCACCTCAATCTTCATTTTATCACTCCAGACAATCAACAGCTTACCTACAATTGATCAACACACATAAAATACGTATGGACATTTTTAATTTTTACTCTCATTCACTCTTTTGCTTCCCAGAGTGCTTAAATTTTCAGTGCTTACGGATTTGATTTATTCCTAAATAGGTACCCTGACAACTTGTGATCTAGCTTCTGAATATTCTTCAGTAATCCACAGTATCAGTAGGAAAATTGGGCCGTTAAAATACTCAGTCAACGAGATTTCGTCTGTTGGAGTCAAGTGGAAATGTATTAGTCTCCACATGTTAGACCCAACTAAGAACAACGGTCAGGGGACGATATACAAATTTTCTGCTTTAACAACAATCGTAATAGCAAAATCTGGGATTCCAAAATTCGTTCGGTGTATGACTGAGCTGGCTATCGCTCGATTTGAGGACTATTTAGATAGATTATCAATGAATATTATAAAGAATTCACTTTACTATGAAACATGAGAATGAAAACAAGTTCCACTCCTTAATGTAGCAGTAAAACTGAGGAAAGATGGTACAGTCCAACGTTCGCTTTATAGAAAAATACACGGAATGAAATCCATCTCAATTTCAATAGCTTCTGTCCATTCACTAACAAAAATGCACTGTTTCAAATACTATCTCACCATGTAGGGAGAATACTAACTACAGATACACTAGAAGAGGAACTAATCAATATTGAAAAGTGTTTAACGAACGTTGAATACCCACAAAATTGATTGATAAATACAGAAAACACAAGAATAAAAGCCCCAGAAAACCTGGTTTTATTCAACTTGAATCTAAAGGTGACAATATTGCAATGACTATCAACATAAGACCAAAAGTGTCATTAGCAAGAACATATCCCACACCTAAATAGATTGTCTTATAGAAAACAATGTTTTTTAACACGATAAGCTCTATTTGCTACCATATATCCGGTGGTCCTCCTGTATATTTGTGGCCTTTTTACTAGCTGAAGTTGCTTTTGCACTTGACTGTACGGTTGTTAAGAACCCCGAAAACAATAAATCCTGCTGTGCTCATCCAGTTCTTCTTGCCTTAAATTGCACAGTTTCGGGAATTCTTAGTTGGCACATCAATTTGAATACATTTGATTACCGTCATTTTCTACTTATGTACGTGCATGGATTTAAAGATACCGCAAATATTTGGATTCTGACAACGCTTCAACCAGCATCACCTTTATAATCGAAGTGTGCCAACGCATTCAAATCAGAAGCGAAGAGGTTCGAAGATTTATTTGATAGAATATCGATGTACCGAGAAGTTATCAACCTAAACTCACTAGCGATTGTAGATGTAAAGCACGACTTCCAACTCGTGATCTGGTGCGGATACGTGACCAAGAGCATCCAGCTAGGTGAGTCCATTAAAACTGATGCGGTGGGCATCAAACGTCGAAAACGTGGAGATCAATTGATTTCGGGGATTTATTTACCTCTACAGATCACTCTCTCTCTCTAGTGGGTAGGTGATGACCCTAAGACGTGTCCAGTCAGAAGGTTAAACTCAACGAATTTTTCGTTAGCAAACACTTTTTTAATAGCTTTCCATGTTCATAAGTGTCTGGTCGTCATTATTTAATATACAGGGCCATGGGGAAACTATTTTCGTAGAATGAATTTTTGTGGGAAAGAAAATATACACCTATAAGCGCATTATTAACAAAAAATATCTTATTTTTGGGATAAAAATTTAAATATACATGAACATATTAAAAAATTTTTTCAACGCAACGTAAGAAAGTGTTACGTAGCGTCTTATGTGAAGTAATCGTTCAGGTGTTTTAGAAACCTTAGTCTTCTTCCGGAACGCGTTGTTTTAAGTCGTTTGTCAGATAACACTGAAGTATCGTCGCGATTGTCGATTATCGAGTGAGATATCGTAATCGTGAGAGTTGTATCTTTTGACATTATTACGGTTTTCTTCTAAACAAGCCGCCAGTTCCGTTCTCATCGATGGTATGGTACTAGGGTTCACACTGCAGGACTTTGAGGGGTCCTCCGCATGCCATCTCGAGCGGTCGTCGAAGTGCGTTGCGACGAAGGCATGGGCCACTGTTTTGGCAGAATGTGTCCAATCTATAAATCCAGCATCGGACAAAACAGGAAACTTAAATGTAGGCCTTACTCACCTAGAAATAGTCAAGTCATATTTTCTGAATCTTTTGTTAGCCATTAGCCGCAATGTTCAAGCTGATCTGATGCAGATAATGACAGCACAGAAAGCAACTTGTGTTTGTAGTTGTATCTGTTCATCCATACGATACTCTAAGCCGAAAATGAAATAACTTGGAAAATTGGTATGTAACATTCAACACGGAGAGATGGGCAGCAGTGGTGAGAGTGGGATTAATTAATCAAAGTGGCATGCCGCACTCATGCAGGCGTGCTCACTATCTACACAACCTATTGCATTTGTATCGAATAAATTACTCTCTACTTATCCCAAATGTGTTCTTCAGAAGCACTAAACATCATACAGCTGATTATTATGACAGGGCGAGTCAGTGTAGACAATGATGTGACTTTCACATAAATTACCTACAGGATGAATGATTTCAGCAAACTAATGATATAATAATAATGATTTATTCTCAAATAACAGTTTATTACACGAGGCATGCCAGTTAACAGACAAGATCAAACTGTTACAAAATATACAATTTTCACTGTAGTAAATTACTCAGCTGGGTTGATATTTTAAAAGATATGATTGTAGACGGTTTTAGTAAGAATAGTATCTCCAATATCACAGTTGGCGCGCTTAATGAAGGTTGCGTCGCGACATGCAGCTGATGGTCGAGAATAGACCCATGTGAAATTGGGGGCTTCTAGAAACCGCAATCTGATATCCCTCTGGAATATCTGAGGCTTTGGCGATGGTGCAGGACGAAGTCACCCGTTCCATATCTGTTTTCGGTGGCACATCTCAAGGGGGCTGAAACAGGGTATAATAAGAAAAAGGACGGGAGGCAGAACAGACATTGTTCATGGAGGAATAATTAAGGTATGACTACTCAGTCTAATTCTCTTTTTAAGGTACTTATTAGGCAAGAGCATTCTAACATGTTAAAGAAAATAAGTGCAAAGAAGATGTGAGTGGATAAAGAACTCTATAAATGAAGGTAGTTCAGAAAGAAGCTGAAACTACGGGATTATGTGTAGTTATAAAATAAATTGCTAAAATCAGTATTCTGATAAAAAGACGGTTGTAGCCCGTTTTTGTCGAAGCTAGTTGAGCCCATTTTCGTAGATTTTATAGGGTCTTGAGCAGACCTCGCATTTGTCGAATTGTCTAGTTTGCTTGTAATAAAATTACTTGGTAGGAAGTGAAGCCAATTCAGCGTTCTAAACACGATTTAAAGAGGTATTTTGCATGATAAATCAGCATCAAACTGTTGGTCCGTGACATTCCTCTGGAAATAAGAAGCCGTGCTTAAACAAAATTTGTCGAGACTCTAGTTTATGGACGAACCTTGAATGAATCTTAAGCAATCTTCAGAAATATTAGCCAATCAGCAAACAGTCAGTATAGAGTAAAAATATTTTATACAAAACCAAGGAAATACAGTGGATACAATTCTTATACGTGGTTCAAAAACTTGTCAAGGTCAGAAGAAGCTTCAGAGGTTCTAAAATCGTAATGCATGCAGTAGAGGAAATCATCCATACGGCTACAAAATAGTCGGCCTCTGGAGCCATGATAAGCTAGCAAGAACTCTTTCATCCTCGACCACATAGCTTCAAAATTGTTTGCTTGCAATCCGGTTCTTGAGTGCACAAAATGTCACTTGTGGATACTGACAAGCTGCACATAACCAAGCCTATGTAGGAATCTGTACGCTCTCTAAATATCTGTATATATTGTAATACCTGGCTTCAGCCAGTGTTACTGATGCTTTTATTATCCAGTTCGCCATAATTGTCATAATTTGCCTCAGTTAGGAATTATATATGGGGTTTTCATCATGAACTGACATCAGCTATAATGCCAGAATTCTATTTAGCCAAATGGATGAAAGGCTATTACGCCAAAATCCGAGATCTGTTATCTTATACCTGATTGATTTGTCCACAAATTATAGTCTCTCCGTTTCAGTCACTCAAATATCACGTTTTGTACGAAATTTCCTGTGAATCGATCGTACGTTAGCCTTTAGCACTGAAGTTTGCGCCGTGACCTTGAAACCCTCAAACCCTTCTGATTGGCTCGTCCATAAATTAGAGTCTCGCCCAAAATTTGGATCCCTTTTATGGTCTCGAAGTTCGGCAGTTATGATTTAACTAGCATTCAAATAAATCATACTTATTATTATTATTCACAAACATCTTATGGGTACATAAGTGTTGTGAAGAAACCATTTTGGGTTTCTTCAAAAATGCAATAATACACACATGGCATTATATTTGCCATATTTGAAAAAAGAGAGTAATAATAATAGAATAATAATAAATCATGTGCTCTGTAAGTGAGAGAATATTGAATTGAGTTTAAAGAAGGAAAGGAACAAAATAGGGGAATACAAATAAAGGAGACGTGAAATACGCAACTAGTTTAATAAGCGTGTTTATGAACACAGA